TCCAGACTCCCCCGATCTGCCGACAAACAGCTGATCGGCAGATCGGGGCAGCCATTTAAATTTAAATGAAGCCGCGATTATTTTAATCGCGGCTTCATTTCCCCCTTCCGATCTGGCTAATCTACATGCCTCCGTCGAAGGAGGCATGTAGTCTAGACACAGCCCAAGAGGTGTCGTCTCCAGAAATAACTGTTCCGTATACACAACAAAAAGTACATATGTAAATACCTTCTTGCTTTTATGCTAATGCAAGTACCTGTGTACCTAGGTACTAGTCTTAAGGAACAGATTTCAGTACAGGTTGAACCTCTTCGGTCTGGGACTCTCTTCAGTCTGGGACTCCAACAGGACCACAGATGTTGCTGGACCAGAAAGCCCCAGCTGCTGTCGGCTGGGAGTCCAGCAAAGGGCTAGCAGCAGAGCCCATCCAGCATCTGCTGGGGGCTGGCAGCCTGGCCAACCCGGCAGCTGCCAGGGGCTGGAACCTCAGCTCAGTCAGCTCTGCAGTCCCTGGGCTGGGAGCATAGACCATCTGGCAGCCGCTGGGGACCAGGAGCAGGGCAACAGTCAGGAGGGGAGCCAGCTAGGAGGCCAGCAGTCCTGGGAGAGCCCTCACCTCCCCTAGTCCTGGCAAACTCCCTATCCGGGGCCTATCAGGTTCCGAGGGTGCCAGACCAGGGAGGTCCAACCTGTATATAAAAATGTGCCACAGTGAATACACCCTGTATCCATAAACAATTACCTGTTTTTAGAACAAGGGATGATGAAAATAAAGCTGTGACACAGAAAGACAGGGCTAGCAAGTCTTTCGTCAACTCCCATTAAACAAAACTGACTAGTATAGTCAATATATAAAAATACAATTGAAAGGAGTTTGAAAAACAAAAGCAAACAGTTTGTGTTAGTTTATTTAAATTCTTGTATATGCCTGTCAGGTAAGAGGAAATTCTCCTCAGAAATAAGCCAATTATATTAAGTTGCTTTCCTGGACCTCATACATATCTGTATTAAATGAGTTACTTGGGGCAAAGCTCAAAGGATGCCTTGGAACTCTGATCCAAAAATAGTACAGTACTAAGCAAACAATGTTTGGAGTAGGAAAGAGACAGAGGGAATAGTTGAAGGGAGGTGAGAAAAGAGAAGCTGAGTGGAAGAAACATACCTGTTTTATGAAATGATGTTTTCTTTGATTATGTATTATTTATTATTCTAGTCTCCTAGATTCATAATGACATTTTCATGCACAAGCCTGATCTTCAAATATGCTACATGTCACTAATGTCTTTGGGTGTCTATGACTGGTTAAATATTTCTGTAAAGCAACATCTATATAACATACATAATAGGATTTTTCTTATGGATTTTCTCAGTGTTTAAATGTTTCCATTTAATTTTGAAATATCTTGCCAAACATCTTTGTTATAAACTTTTGGCTAATAAAGAAATAATATGGACTATCAATTTCTTATCCAATTTCTTGCTTTACCTATAATTAGGGACCAAGAGAAAAGATACTGGTTTTTGCTATACATGACTCAGTTCATCACAAATTGGTTATATCTCTAAGTTCAACTTATTTTATTGGACAAGCTACCTATTTTTCATGCTGATTATTCCATCCAATATCTTATACAAGATTTACTGAAGACATTTCAAACCCACCTCCTCCTTGTATCCATCCGTTTTTTACTAACCGATGAAAAATTGACTCTTTATAAGTAAGCTTCAGACCACTACATGAGGTCCCTGCTTCTCCTGTACACAAAGAGCGAAAGTTCTCACAGGTTTTGGGGCACATATCAGAATACAGCTGCAAAATGAATGGAGAAAAAAGATGGGAAGTTGGTAAATCACTTCAAAGGCCAGATCCTGCAATCTTTTTGCTTGAGAGTGAGGGCTGTAAGCAGAGCCTGATAATTGATTTTCCTTCTGTAACTTACCTCAAATAACAAAGTGCCAATGGGCTGCTCCTGAACAGCTATGTCCATGTACACAAATACATGCTGTATAATTGGGAAAACAAATCCAATGGGAAAAGAGTCAAATATCTTCTAAAAAAATGTTCACTCTTCTTATCAAAATACAGTATGATGCTCAGTGATATGGTATCAGTTTCTTTTTATAGTTAACATCTAAAATGGACCCATAATTAGGTACCCAACAAACAGACTTTACAAATGATAACATATGTATTATATAGTCCAATATTTTGTTGAAACAAAAACATTCTGCAAGTTTCATGTCATTCTTGGACAAAACCACCATTATGGTGCACTGGGAAAGATCAGGCTGGACCCATTTAATCAGTGGTGTAAACAGGTGCAGGTTCTCTGAAGCCCATGTAAAAATCACAACCGACAAATCCATAGTAGTGATTGCTATGCCTAATGAAATAATTTTGCAGGATGGCTGATCACTGGTCCGATATAAAGAGGTAAATAATTCAATTGCAGTCAGCAAGAAGCAAATTTAGTTTATCATTTCTCATGGATAAACTGATCTGATAGGAAAAAGACGTTTTAAAAAATTAAATGACAACTGAATTAGGTTTTCTAGAAATAACCACAAATCAAACATCATACTGTTTTCTAGAAATAACTATTAGTCAAACATCATACTGCTTTGGAAAAACATCAAAAAGTTCAGCTCCTTATCTAAAAATTACCTGAACATCCTGGGTGAAATCAGTTTTTGCTACTGCCATTCATGAAGCCAGGATTTCACCCTGTAAGAGTGTGTCTACACAGAGGCTGGAAGCAAGCCTTTCAGATCAGTTAGACAGACACACTAATGTGGCTGGTGTTAGTTCACTAAGAATGGACACTGCATCCCAGGTTGGAATTCAGGCTGCCAGGTCTAAGGAATTGTGTGGGCTTGAGAGCCTGAGCTGCAACATCCATATTGCTATTCTAAGCCCACTATCTTAAGTTCTGCTAGCAGGAGGTTTGCTTCCAGCTGCAGTGAAGATACACTCAGAGCCTATAAAACTGGGCAGGAAACCTGTGGGCTACGTCTACACTGCAGGCTTCTTGCGCAAGAACTGTTTTGCGCAAGAGTTCTTCTGCTAAAGGTCTTGCGCAAGAGCGCATCCACACTGCCACATGCTTTTGCGCAAGAGCACCCATGGCAGTGTGGATGCTCTCTTGCTCAAGAAAGCTCTGATGGCCATTTTAGCCATAGGGGTTTCTTGCACAAGAAACCCCTGTTGCCTGTCCACACTGCCTTCTTGTGCAAGAGCTTTTGCGCAAGAGGGCTTATTCCTAATGGGGAGAGGATTAACTCTTGCGCAAGAAGCCCTTTGTTCCGACGCTTTACTGTAAATTTACTTGCGCAAGAACACGTGTGCACTGTAGACGCTCTGCAAGTTTTTGTGCAAGAAGCCTGCAATATAGACGTAGCCCAATAGAATAACTTTATTCATGAGATTTGTAGCAGTTTTGATTTTAGAAATTTCAAAAGAATATTCCTTCAAGTCCAACAGAGGGACTGGAGTACATGTCTTCTGTGGAGAGGCTGAGGGATTTGGGCTTATTTAGTCTGCAGAAGAGAAGAGTGAGGGGAGATTTGATAGCAGCCTTCAGCCACTTGAAGGGGGGTTCCAAAGAGGATGGAGAGAGGCTGTTCTCAGTGGTGACAGATGACAGACTGAGGAGCAATGGTTTCAAGTTGTAGTGGAGGATGTTTAGGGTGGATATTAGGAAAAACTATTTTACTAGGAGAGTGCTGAAGCACTGGAATGGGTTACCTAGAGAGGTGGTGGAATCTCCATCCCTAGAGGTGTTTAAGTCCCAGCTTGACAAAGCCCTGGATGGGATGATTTAGTTAGGGTTTGTCCTGCTTTGGGCAAAGGGTTGGACTCGATGACCTCCTGAGGTCTCTTCCAGCCCTATGATTCTATGGCATTTCAGCAGTTTTTTGTCCAGTTCTGATCAGAAACAACTTAGTTCTATTCTGTCTATATTCCCTAGCTGCTGAGAGGGGACTGTCCCAAATTCCTCTAGTTTCTGGCTGCTAGGCACAATTTCCCTCCCCTCCTGACTGCTGGGAGGAACAAAATCTCCCATCTCCATTCTCCATTCCACAGATGTGGACTTACTGCTTCTTCTTTTCCGTCTCTTTGGTAGGATTCCAGTGAACATTTCTCCTTGCTGTGAGGGTGGGAGGAAAGAGAGAACTAGGGACTGAAGTGCAGTAGTCTCCTTTCATTTCTTATTGGGTTTGCCATTTTGCCAACTAAGTATGAGGTAGGGCAGGGAGCATACGGACTAGTCTTTTCCTCAAGATCACTAAGTCAGAGTATTTCACCAAAAGTCCTTTAGTATGACAGCATCATGAACTTCACTGCAAGTCTATTGTCTTAGACCAGGTGGTCCCCAATGCGGTGCCCGCGGGTGCCATGGCGCCCGCCGGGGGTATTTATGTGTATCCGCCGAGTGGCCAGGGCCAGCTCGAGCCATTCCTGCGCCCTGGGCAGCAGGCGCGCGATGCAAGTGTGGCACCGCCCCCCGGCGCATTGCGCGCCTTACAGCTGCCATCAAGCGCTTCCCATAGGTTGGTGCCCCGGGCAGCTGCCCGGCTAGCCCTCCCTTAATCCGGCCCTGCATGCGTGGCCCCTGCCCCGGGCATGTGGCGCGTGCGCGGTGCTGGCCCTGGGCATGTGGCGCAGGCGCAGCCCCGCCTCCGGGTGCGTGGTGCATGCTCGGCCCCACCCTCCCGCGTGCGCGATGCGTGAGCAGCCCCTCCCCTGGGTGCTCGGCAGCCCCAAAAGGTTGGGGACCACTGTCTTAGACACTGAGATTGCATATCAAAAAGTAAAAAACTGGGTGACAAACATACCGCAGATTTATATGGATGGATCTAAGACGTTATGTTGAGAAAATATCAAGCCTTCCTATTCTCCCTTCCCTCTGTAAACCCCTGCACTACCCACAAAACCACAAGCAAACAATCCATTGATAAGTCACATAATTTACAGTTAGATAGTACATCTGTAACAGACTTTACACTTGCGTTTTAGAAACCAGTGTAACCTGCCTTGCTATTTTGCATGTGTTTGGTGCAAAAATCCTCAGTTATAGCTTGGTAAAGTGCCACAGGTTTAAAATCTTGATAGTTCCACTTATCATAAGCCCATTTGAGCAGTTCTTTTTCACTTCCCAGAAGTTGACCATCAATAAAACACATCACATTGGAGGGATACTCCCATGTTTCACCTTTCAGTTCCTGAAAAAAAATTAGGAAAAAAATGAAAGCCTTCCGAAATTACACTTTGGATTTAGTGCAGAAGCAGTGAGTAATACTCAGATTCCAGGCTGATGAATGTGGTACAAATACCTAACTAGATGGATTTTTTTCCCCATATTACTTATTGGGTGTTTATGCTTTCCCTTCCCAAACTCTAACCTTCCCTTCAAACACCACCACAAAAAAATAAAACATACAATCTTACAACTATATTTAGCAATTGCTCCTGAAATTGTTAAGAATAAACATCCAAAAGGTATAAAAGGCTGTCCAAAATCCAGTTACATTAAAACAGAATGGCTGTCTAGACTGGCAAGTTTTTCCGCAAAAGCTTTGTGGAAAAACTTGCCAGCTATCTACACTGGCTGCTTGAATTTCCTCAAGAACACTGACGATCTCATGTAAGAAATCAGTGCTTCTTGCGGAAATACTATGCTGCTTCCGTTCGGGCAAAAGTCCTTTTGCGCAAAAGCGCATCTAGATTGGCATGGACGCTTTTCCGCAAAAAGTGCTTTTGCGGAAAAGTGGCCATGCCAATCTAGACGCTCTTTTCCGCAAATGCTTTTAATGGAAAACGTTTCCGTTAAAAGCATTTGCGGAAAATCATGCCAGTCTAGACGTAGCTAATGGGTATGGCTATACAGCAACATTATTTCGAAATAACTAGCGTTATTTTGAAATAACTTAGTCTGCGTCTACAAACTAGGCAGTTATTTCAAAATAATGTTGAAATACTGTCAGACTGGAGGACTCCTTACTCTGACTCCTCATTGTATTAGGAGTAAGGGAAGTTGGAAGAAGCGTGCTCTAATTCAAAATAATCACTGCTCGACTAGTTCCTTACATCCCTGCACTGGAATGGTCTAAATTTAGTTGGTCATGCCTCAGTGCCTGGAGCTGGACTATAGGACCTCCCAAGGTCCATTCAGGCCTTCATTTCTATGATTCTGTGATATCGAGACCCCTCAATAAAGCGTAATTCTTACTGGCAGACTCAGAATGGATGTGCAAGGTGACCTATTCTGTTTAACCCTAGAAGTGGTCTCTTCAGATTTGGATCCAGCTACATTGGCAGGGCAATCTGGCGAAGTTGTACTTGCTACTGCAACTGCTGTAAATACAGCTCTTAGTTTTCTAATGCTGTCCAATGTTCTATCTTCCTTAAATATATTTAAAGTAAAGTTTTCATTTAGAAAAAGGACAGACCATTGCCCTCTTCTTTCAGACTAAATCTACTTTAGTTTTCCTCCTAAGTCAAACAAAACATCTGCTTATTTTATTTGTTTCTGCACCAAATGGTATCATGAACAGAGCCTGGCAAAGGTATAGAGAACCCAGTTTACCTACTGCATAGAAGATAACATTCACTTGACAAATCAGAACTAAATCTAGGTAATTCAAGCCTAATTCACATTGGAAAAAAGAGGCACCTTTTTTTTCTCCTGTAAATATTCATGCCATGCAAATTCTAACAGAGGAAGCACTACAGGTTCTGCAATCTTGGTTGGAAAATTCAGCCTGAGAGCCTAGATTTTCAAAATAAAAGAAATATTTACTTACATGTATTTTACTTAAAATATTCCATTACATTTTGTATTTTCTTATTCAAATAGATTGAGGTCATCTATATTTTAGTTTTGATTATTTCACGGTACAGTAGACTTCCAATAATCCGGAACCTATGGGACCTAGGTGGTGCCGGATTATCAGATATGCCAGACTATCAGGAGGTACTATAAGATGGTTATATATATACTGTATATATTATATAATGTATATAAAGTGTTCTTAACCCTTTTTATTGTACATACTGTATACAGTATACTGTAATGTTTTAGTTTTTTTAAGCCTTTTTTACCCTTTTTGCTCAGTTCAGCTGCTGCCGCTGTTACCTTGTGACTGATTTTTTGCCGAAGCTCACTCACTAGGCTCTTGCCATTTTGATGCCAGACTATTGGAGTTTTACTGTAGTTGTTTACACACACGTAACAGTTCCTAACAGTTATAAGTACACACACATTTTAAATTAGTATTTTAAATTTAAGGGTTTTTTTTTTAGCACTTGCAAAATCTGCTACTTTCCAAACATTAACTAGTTATACTCACGCTACCCCAACTAGGGATGGGGGATAAGCAGATAGGGAAACTGCCACAGAGACGTTATGAATTTCTGAGCATCATCAGTTGCTGTAGACTTAATGGGGAGTTGCAGGTTCTCTGCATCTTGTGAGATCAGTCCCAGCCATAAAGTGAATCACATAGAGCCCTGCGCAGATACAACATTTTGTATCTGCATTTGCAAAAAATGAGCCACGGACATCGGCATCCATATCTGCGGATGTGAATACCTGATTATTTTCAGGGCTCTATGAATCAGGAGGGTTAGAACTTGGGAATTCCTGAATTCTAGTCCTTGTTGCCTCTCATTGTTTTTTGAACATGTACAGTAGATGTTAGATATGGAACATTTCTGTTAGGCCATTTAGGTTCATCCTCTGGAATGTAAAATTGTTCCCGGGAGTATATTTTCTGTATATGTATTCAGTCTGGTTTGCAGTTTCTCAACAATGATCTTCCATTTAAGAATCTCTAAGGCTACATGAACACTGCAGGCTTTTTGCACAAGTATGACCGTTCTTGCACAAAAACTTGCAGAGCGGTCTACACTGCACGCGTGTTCTTGCACAAGTAAATTTACAGTAAAGCGTCAGAACAGAGGGCTTCTTGTGCAAGAGTTATTCCTCTCCCCATGAGGAATAAGCCCTCTTGCGCAAGAAGGCAGTGTGGACGGGCAACACGGGTTTCTTGCACAAGAAACCCCTATGGTTAAAACAGCCATTAGAGCTTTCTTGCGCAAGAGAGCGTCCACATTGCCATGGATGCTCTTGCGCAAAAGCACATCTCTTGTGCAAAGACACATGGCAGTGTGGAAACACTCTTGCACAAGAACTGTTTTGCGCAAAAAGCCTGCAGTGTAGATGTAGCCCCCATGTATTACAAACATGAACCTACTAAAGGCCTGTGGTGCTTTACACTGATCATGGCTTTACAATCTTGGTAGCTGGGCACTGGTGGATCATCCCAGTGTAAGAGGCTTCTACTTAGCCCCCACTCTGTGCCCACATTAGTGTTTGTGGTTGTTCCTTCATCCCCCCTCCAACTTCTGTCCTTCCACTGTATCTGAAGTTTGTGTAATTTAGACAGCTCTAAATAAAGATGATAGACAAGCTCAGCAGCCAGTCTGTTTAGCATTAGAGTAGACTAAAGGTCGCATTTCTACACCTCCCCCCAAAATCCCTGCAAGGTGGATATTTTTCTCTCATTTCACAGTTGGGTAAATTGAATCACAGAGAAAGATTAAGTCACTTGCCTAAGGTTGCCGTGCAAGTCAGTTTGTAAATATAATGAAACTATCTCATATGGCATCACAATATGCAATAAATGCTTTACAACAAACAGAAGGACCCTGTGCACCATATGCTTGACAGTAGCAAACGTATGACCAATATGTAGATACCAAGGGAATATTTTAAATACATAAATGCAGAATTCTTAATCTTAATTTCTTAAAAATACCAAGAACGCACAGTCATTCTATTAATTTGCTATGTATTTGTTTTTAAAAATAATGCCAGCCACTGTTTGGAAGAATTTCAAACTATTTGCTTCTGCTACAGTAACAGCCTGCAAGAAAAGTTACCTCTGCTGTGCATTTTGCCACATGGAACACAGGCTCTTTGAGAAGCCCCACAATCACCAACTGCTGCAATTGCAGGGGACCCATGGCTCCCTCACTCCCCAGCACACACCGTCTCCCGGCTTTCTCTCCTTTGGTTGCTGTTGCTTTTCTAGCTGCCCAGCCTCACTTTAGGCAGACAGAATGTAAACAGAATTCTGTTCACCATAGCAACTCCAATCAGAGGGCTAGTACGCTGTAGATCCAAGTTGTACTACAAGCATTAAAGACAAACTCTGCCGGCACATTAGGGGCATGTCTACACAGCAGCATTATTTTGGAATAATAGATATTATTCTAAAATAACAGTGCACATTTACACAGCAAGCAGTTATCTCAACATAATGTTGAGCTGGAGGACTTCTTACTTCGATTCCTGTAACCCTCATTTTACGAGGAGAAATCGGAGAAAGAGTGCTCTAACTCAGACTTCTTGCTGTGTATAGAGCTCCAAAAGCCAAAATAAACTATTTCAACTTAAGCTACGCAATTGATATAGCTCAAGTCGCGTAGCTTATTTCAGCTTTAGCCCTGCTGTGTAGATGTACCCTAGGAGGGTGGATTGTTTATGAAAGTACCTTTTTCACTGGACATCTTATTCACATAGCACTAGATTTTTAACTGCATCCTACACTGTTCTCCTTGGATGGTGTATTTAGATGTGCCATAGTGACCAAAGTGCACAACATGTAGATAGGTAGGATAGTCAATCAGCAAATGAAATTTTAAAAATAGTATTACAAGTTATAGACAAACAATTAAAAGGTAAAGACAACTAAATACAATGTTTAGTTTTTCTTCCCATGGAAGATACCTTCCAGAATTAAAAGAGACCTACTTATGGAGATTATATGAATTTAACCATCCCACTTTCACAATTAGGACAGTTAAATTAAAATCTTTTAGAAATCCCACAAAAATGTATTTGTCATAAGTACATTATATCCTTTCTATTATCACGTGCTAATCTAAGTGCTTCTATGACGGTGTGTTCCTCTCACGCTGGTCTGGAAAGGGTTAATGTGATTCAAAAGGGCTAACTAACTGGATAGGCTTCATAGATAAGCACTCTTTGAGGACTGAACCCAGAGGGACAGGGCAGGCTTCAGATCAGGAAGTGAGGGTGGAGGCAGCTGTAACATGGAAGTCTGCAGTCACTCTCTGGACTTAGAGCAGCAAAAGGTAGAAAATCAGGAAGAAAAAACTCCTAGGAGCCTGCTGCTGAAGGAATTGATGGTTTGAGAGAGGTGAATTAAGAAACAATCCAGGAAAAGACGCTCTCATGCAAGAAAGCTCTGATGGTCATTTACAGAATGGCCATCAGAGCACCTGTGCTTTTTCTTATGAAACCCCTTGCACAACAAACCCCTCTGGAGCATCCACACTTGCCTTTTTACACAATAGCTTTAGTGCAAAAGGGAGTTATGCCTTGTAGAAGGAGGTTTACCTATACCGGCAAAAGCCCTCTGTTCTGCTGTTTTACTGCTGATTTACTTGCTCAAAAGTGCATTTGAGGTGTGGATGCGCTGCAGGTTTTTGCGCAAAAACCTTGCAGTGTAGACGTAGCCCCTGTATCTGTCTTTGCACATATTTCTTAGCAGACTAACAAATTGAAAGCCCAGAACTTTCATGGAAGCAAGAGTTGGTTGCTAGACTGGACAGATTAGAGCCATTAATTCATTTTTATGAGACTAAGTGTAGGAATAGCATATTTGTGATAAGGGTTAATTGTAACTTATTTTTAAATAAGAAATATAGCTTATTTTATTTAAAAACTTTACAAATCCAATTTAAATAAAAATATCTGATAATGCTCTTGCCAGTTTTTAAGTATTTGTTTGAATAAAATGCTTTGCTCTGAGGCTTCTGACTTTTTAAATTTGCAATGAAACAAATGTTACAAATTATTTAAACTTAGTCATATTATATATCAAAGATACCAGAGCTACAATAAAATTAAAAAGGACCAAATCCAAATTGAGACCTTTTAATCAACAATTTGCTTCTAAAGCCCAGCTCTCAAATCCACATTCATGTGTCTGACTGGTACCTCCAAATATTGAGTGTTCAAACAGTACGTAGCTGTGTGGTAAAGCCTTAGGCTGACCAGATTGATAGTTATAAAATGAACCTTCTAAGAGAAGATTCAAAGTTAGAAAGGAGGAGGAGAAGAATTCACAAGTTGTAAGAGGAATGCCAAATAATGAATCCTCAATTTTTCCTACTCGTTATCAGGGACTGGCACAGTGACAAAGCTGGTGTCCCCTCTGCTGATATTTTCCTAATTGTAATAAACAGTCATATGTCCCTGCTGATTTAGTTAGCTTCTAAGGGTATGTCTACACTAAAGAGGTTTTTTTGGATAATTGGCCGTTTTTCCAAAAAAACTTCAATTACGTCCACACTGCAATCGCATTCTTCGAAAGAAAATCGAAATAGAGGGGTTTTTCCGACATTGGTAATCCTCATTCTCCGAGGAAGAAGCCTTTTTCCAAAAGAGCTCTTTCAGAAAAAGGCATGTGTGGACAGGGAAGAGGGAGTTCTTTTGCAAGAGGAGGAAAAAGGAAAAAGCACAGATGCCCTGGCAGCCATTCCATCTATGGTAATTACAGCTAAAATTCAAGATAGTGTCCATTCAGTGTGGACGCTATCTGTTGAAAAAGCAGATTGCTTTTTCAATGCGATTTGGCAGTGTGGCTCTCTTTCAGAAGAAGTTTTTCCTGAAGATCTCTTCTAGAAAAGCTTCTTCCAAAAGAAGTCTGCAGGCTAGACAGTCTATGGCTGTCACAAGGCTTAGCTCACAGAGTAGGCTAGAAGGGGCCATCTTCATCTAGATGTGATGATCTAGTCTGACCCCTGTATAGCAGAGGCTGTTGAACTTCCCTGAAGGTGGAATTACATCATCTTTCAGAAAATTCATTCAGTGTTGATTTACATTTGTCCAATGATAGAAAATCTATCACAAACCTTAATAAGTTTTCCAATAATAGATTATCCTCATTGTTAAAAACTTGGGGCTCATTTCTAATCTGAATTTAACTAGCTTCACCTTTCAGCCATTATATCTTATTTTATTTATTAGATTGAAGATTCCACTATCAAATTGCTGTTCCCTGTACTTATATATTGTGAATAAAATACCCCTTAACCTTCTCTTAGTTAAAAGACTGAGATTAAATCTTTTCTATAATGCATGCTCACCAATCTTATAGTCATTCTCATGGCTCTTCTCCAAACCCATTCCAGCTCATCAATATTCTTCTTGAATTGTGGACACTGAAGCTGGATTCACTGTTCCAATAGCAGCTCACCAATGTCAAATACAAAGGTAAAATAAGCCCTCTGCTCAACATTCCCTTTGTACATCCAAAGATTGTATTATTCCCTTATGGCTCCCGCCGTGGATTCAGCTAGTTATCCACCACAGCCCCCAAATGCTTTTCAGCGGTATTGCTTCCAAAGACAGCCCCTCCATCCTGGAAGTATGACTGTACCTTTTTTGTTCCTGTGTGTATAAAATTATGTTTAACTGTATTAAAATGCATATTTGCTTGTGCCCACTTTACAAAGCAAGTCCAATGATTCTAAATTAATGACTTGTCCTCATTATTTACCACTCCACCAATTTATGTTATCTGTAAACTTGCAATAACTGCTTTTTTCAGGTCTTTCATAAAAATGTTAAATAGCATATGACCAAGAACCAATCTTTGTAGAAGCCCACTAGAAACACACCTACTCAGTGAGGATTCCTATGTACAGTTATAGCAAGTCCTATAATGTTGTCAGTTTTTAATCCATTTAACATATGCCATGTTGATTTTATATCAATCTAGTTCCTTAATCAAATTGTAGCACAGTAACAACTGAAATACCTTAATGGAATCTAAGTAAATTACACAAACACTACCCTTAAGCAAGTTTGTAATATCATAAAAAAAGTTGGGTTGAGAAGATCAATGTTGTATAAAGCCATGTTGATTGGTGCAGAGAAGTGCATATGCTAATTTAAAATTGTTTGGCATGAAATGCTGTTATAGGACAACTGTTAAGCAAAACTGCATGATGAGGTATGCTGTGGGATGAATAAAAAACCCGGATGACTGTGGATGCATGGAGACATAGAGGCTTGGCCAGCTAGCTGAAAGCTCCATCAATTTGGCACATTTGGAACTCCCTGAAGTTGAAGTATCCTCAGGTAGGCTTCTGAAAGGAGCAGCAGGATCAGAGGGGTATTTGGGAAGGGAGGTACTGCTGGTCTTTTATCAGACGTCCTTAGTGAAGCAAGAAAAAGGTTATTGAATGCAATTGTTTAATCTGGTTAAATAAAAGTTTAGTAGATTTTCAAGCCCAGAAGTGAGAGACAGGCAATCAGTGGTTTCTGAAGAGACATGCAGGATCACTGAAATTAAGTTAAGAAAAACAGCCAAGAACATCAGAAATATACAGGCATGCTGAGAGGAAGCTTAGAAGGCATAAAACAGGGGTGGCTAAGATATTTCTCACAGGCTGAATCCAGCCCACCAACCACCTTGCCAGAACCCTCAAGCACACAGCCAATGCTGTTTTAAGCAGAGTGATGGTCTGTGTGGCTCTCTGCTTTGGAGGGAGAAGGCAGCTTGATGTGATCTCCCTCACCCCAGCCCAACCCTCAGCTCCCATTGGCTGGAAACAACCGTCCAATAGGAACTGGCCCCAGCCAACCTGCTCTCCTATTGGCCAAAAACATCCAGCCAATAGGAACTGAGAAATTGGCCTGGGAGACAGCCCAGCCTGCCTTAGGGTGCTGCAGGGCTGCTGGCTGAGAGACGCTTAGGTAAGTGCCTCCCAGTCAAAGCCTGCCTCTGGCAATGCTGCAGGCTTCTGGCACCCATGTCCCTCCTGCAGGTCACCATCCAAACCCTCTGCACCTGGTCACAACTCCCTCCAGACTCTCTAACCCCCTCCTATGTGCCTCCCCCAGGCCAGATTCATCTCCTGCACTAATACTCTCCCCTGACCCTACACCCCAATCCTGATGCAGGTCTCAACCCTCTTCTTCACCCAAACTACCTCTCAGGCCTTACACCGTTTCCTGCATCCCAGTACCTTACCCTGTGCACCCTTCTGCACCCAGCCTCCATCCTAGATCCCACACCTCCTCTACAGAAAAGTGTGGCCCTTGACCACTTTCCAAAATCTTAAGAGGGTCTCCCACACCAAAAATTATTGCCCACCCCTGGCATAAAAGGTAACTTGACCAACTCAGACAATGATGTTAAACAAGATGTGCACAAAGGAAAGAGCAGGTAGGGATAACTGGTATTGATTATAATACATTCTTTTAATTTGTTAGATCCTAATAATGATATGGAACTTATGTCAGGCTAACAGATCTATATTACCTGCATCATCTCATTTACCCTTTTAAAATATTGGCACAGCTTTAGTTTTCTTCCAGGCCTCAAACTTCCCCAGTGATCCAAGAGTTTTTGAAAGTCAGCATCAATGGCCCTTGTTAATTATGAAGTTTGTTGTGATGACTGAATATCAGCGTTCCTCGTAAGCTGTGCACTTGTGTGGCCATGCAGGAGAGCTTCCAATGCTGTCCAGCTGATTAGAAGAGCATCCATAGCTAGGTTGTGTGTTTCTTTTGGTGGTACACAAACATATTTTAGCATCCCTAGTATATGTGAACTTTTGTTTACACAGAGGGAGGCAGGTGGCAGCCAGCTCCCTGCAAGCATCCATTTCCACCTGCCCCTCCACCTCCGCTGCCTCTGATACACAGACAACAGCTTGAGGGGCAGGCAGCTCCATGGGAGTGGAAATATATTGGGAACCAGCTTAAAATTCATTTCCCAACATGCACCGGCTCCTGCCCTCGCCGCCGTTGCCTTGTCTTTCTTGTACTTGAATAATTGGGGGTTTTCATTAATAAGTCTTCTAGAATTTAACCTAAGAAAGCGGCAACCACTTTGCTCTGCAAAACATTTAGGAATTTACATAATAGGATGTCTCAATCCTGAATAAACCAGAAACATGGGTTATAAAAGTTGCTAAAACTTCTCCATGGCAACCATTATACAGTTGTAAAGTGAAAACTTGAGACAGTATTTTATATCTGCTGCAATATTTAAGACTCAACCAAATTTTATTTTCCAATGGTGTAACAAGCAGAACAATTTTACTATGTAAAGATTATTTAAGTGTTAAATAATATTTTCCTGGCTCAAATAGATTTTTTTTGTTTAGGTTCCTGACACATCAAAATCTTTAGCTTCTGGATTACAGTTACAATATATTTATTTTTTGGTAATGGTTTTCTAGGTTACATATATAGACAATATTTCTCCATTTTTTGAAGGAATTTAAGATAATGAATCAAGTTAAAGACAGTTTTACAGTTGAAAGTCATTTTTAGAATTAAAATTTGTCATCCCTTCCCTCCTCACATCAACTTATTTAAAAGTTGGTACAGCTCTTTGGAGAAACTGATATACAGGCAGTCCCCGACTTACGTGGATCCGACTTATGTCGGATCCGCAGTTACGAACGCGGCTTTTCCCGTCCCGGAGGACACGGACTGCGGGACCTCACAGTCCCGCCACCCGTGTACTCCGGGGCGAGAAAAGCTGCTTCGCGTCTCCCTGGTCTGCAGACCAGGAAGATGCGGAGCAAAGCCGCGGAGGGGCTCGGGCAGCCGGGCAGCCCAGGCGCACCTGGGCTGTCCCGCTGCAGGAGTGCTCCAAGGCTTTGCTCCCCGTCTCCCTGCAGACCAGGGAGACGGGGAGCAAAGCCACGGAGCATGCCCGCAAGGGGACAGCTCAAGCGCGCCCGGGCTGTCCCGCTGCGGGCGTGCTCCAAGGCTTTGCTCCCCGTCTCCCTGCAGACCAGGGAGACGGGGAGCAGCCTTTCTCGCCCCGGAGGACGGGTGCGG